ATAAATATACAAATAAATATATATATATATAAATATATAATAAATATAAAAATATATAAATAAATACATTATATATAAAATAATATAAATATATATATATATGTTCATATATATATATATATATATATATATATATATATATGTACGTTTCTGTATATCTGTATTTTAACAACATCTATCAGCGATTCGAAAAAGGAAGTCCAAAAGTATATGTACTGCGCATGACTGGACTACACAGGCAAATTTCCCGGTGTAATGCATTGCAATTACCCAAGTTATGCAATCGAGTAAATCTAACCTACGGTTGTTGACGTGTCTAGACTCGCCCACAATTTTGCCGCGTCTTCTAATCTTAGGCTCTCTAATCTTATTCATAGGCCTAGTCTAGGCCTAGCTTTCGTTTTTTTTTTTGTTTTTTTTTATTTTGTATTAGTCACGTGCCACCATAGTCCTAGGCGTATTATTATTATTAATTAATTATTGGGTATTATAATATTCTTTTGATGATAATATTAATAGCCCTTGCAATAACAATTATAAACAATCAATATTACTTACTAATACTAAGGCCTAGAGATCTAGGCCTAGGCTACACTAACACATTAACAACAAGGCCTAGGCTAGGCCTAATAATAAGGATAATAATAAGGATAATAATAATAATAATAATAATAATAATAATAATAAGGATAATAATAATAATAATAATAATAATAATAAAAATAATAATAAAAATAATAACAAAAATAATAATAATAATAATATTAATAATAATAATAATAATAATAATAATAATAATAATAATAATAAAAAGAATAATAATAATAAGAAGAAATACTTACCATCCGAGATAGCCAAGGCTAGGCCTAGAGTGTAGAAAAAAGGCAGGCTTCCTATGCCCAGCCTACACTAGCATAGGTCTAACGACGAGTAAAGACTTGACCACTAACTAACTGGCATGCAGATTTCACTTTAAAATCCATTTTTACGAATTATAAATAATCCAGTAATTTTTGGGAGTTTGCATGGTTTTTGAAGTCATTTTCGTACAAATTTGTTGACAGTAGAACATATCTAGGCCTAGGCTAAATTCCTGTTTCAGAAAAGTCCCTCTGCAGTGTAGTGTTAAATTATGAATTCTATCAAAAGTATGCTGCTGCATTCGCGTAATATTATATTAATACATTTTTATAACATTATTTGACAGCTGATCCATGTAAACATTGTCACGTATAAGATGCCTTCGTGTATACCTGTTGTTTTTTCATATAGAAAAAGACCTTTCTTGTTTTGGCGTGAACCCATTTCCAATAGACCAATATGCGATACAATTTTCTAAATTTAAACAAAGAGTAGATAAACTTCTAAAATAATTTTATTATTTTTAACCACACGTTTAATCTTACAAGAAAGTATAATACATACTCCTAGAGTGTAGAAAAAAGGCAAACCAACTGATTTAAGGGGATTTTCTTGCTGCCTCCATGCACCCTTAACCGGTCTATGGATGTTATCTTCGTAGTCAAGTAATCCTGGTGCTACGTAGTAGGGATCATTACGCAAATAATTGTGTAATGTACATGCAGCCATGACTAACTGCGATGCCTTTTCTGGAGAAAGATTAATACGAGTTAATAAAACTCTAAACTTCATTGCCAAAATGCCAAAGGCGTTCTCCACTCTCCTCGCCCTAGAAAGCCTGTAATTAAAAACTCTTTGGGCGTACTTCAAATTACGAAATGGAAATGGCTTTAGAAGATCTGTTCTCAATGGAAATGCTTCATCTCCAAGAATATGGAATGATGAGTTGTCATCAGTTCCCGGAAGAAGATCACTTTCAGGAATGCTTAACAGCCTCCTATTTAACGCCTCTAACAATGTGCAACCAGCAAAAACACCGCCATCAGAAATCCTCCCATTGCAGTCCACGTCGACATAAATAAACTTATAATCGGCATCGACGAGTCCCATAAACACAATACTAAAAAAGTTCTTATAATTATAGTACAACGACCCACTGTTGTTGGGAGCCATCAATGCTACATGTTTCCCGTTTATAGCACCTAGCGTGTTTGGGAAATTCCATTTGCTGTGGAATTGCTGGGCTATCCGTCTCCAGTCTTCTCCCGATTGTGGCATCTAAAATAATAATTAAACAAATAAAGATAGACCTAATTAAATATCTAAATCTGTGTTTTATGGTTTAAACATGATTATTTTTTTTATTTATTTTTTATTATTATTATTTTTATGATACAGATAGCTGATGAAGAGGAATACGACGAACTAGGAGCCTCTGACGAAGAAATCAACTCAGCAGACGAGGTAACCATACCAGAAGGGACTCCATCAAGTATGACGCCTCTCGCGTTCGCTAATGCTACATCCAAACCAGAGGATTCCAAACGAAGAAACGTTGGTCCTAACCAAAGAAAACTAACTATGAAAAGAAAAAAAGACTCGGACTATTTGGAGACAATTGCTAAGTCAATTTTCGAGCCAATTGTTTTCCCGCAACAGGTGGAGGATGAAGATGACCTTTTTGGCCGATATGTAGCTGCCAAATTAAAAAAATTAAGTAAGCTGAGGAAATTGAATGTGATTCAAACAATCAACCAAACAATTTTTCCGGCAGAAATGGACGAGCAGACGAACACCAGTAGGTCATATATAGACCTACTGACATCAACTGCACATCCTTATGAATAAAAGAGGTTTTAACAATACATTATTAAATGAAATATAAATAATAATTTGCATGATTTAATATAATGTACAGTACTTACATTCAAATATTCTTCTTTAAGAACGTCATATTTATTTAATTAAATGTTTACTAAATGAACTAACAATGGCCATTGCTTATTAGTCATCTACTTATGAACTGAGGGAGATATCGAATATCGAACACTGTATACCCGTACCTGTTGCTAAAAAGCGCAACGTCACAGCTAAGCGTTCACCAGATGAGACACATTTATGGAAATTTGTGTCTTGACGTTGAATATGCGGCCCAATTTTCTCCACGATATTGTGGAACTAGGAAGGTTACATTCGAAAAAAAGTTTCGATAGCTTTCGGTGTCATTTAGTCTTAATTCTTCGATTAAATTGAAATAGAAGCCCTGCCCGTCGTGTTCGTTGAGCCAGGGTCGTCTCCAGCAGTTGCGGACTTTCTTACTTTTCTCTTCAATTGCGCAAAAAGTCGCGATGGCAGCCCGTCTCTTTCTTGTCACTTGACAATATGGGAAATACATATTAAATAATAAATTATTTAACACATGAAGCCTAATCTTATTTATTGAATAAAGTATACTTGAAAAAATTATTAATTATTATTATTATTATTATTATTATTATTATTATTATTATTATTATTATTATTATTATTATTATTAATTTAAATTTTCGATAAAAAAAAATGAACAATTTTTAAAAAGCAGAGCAAATTTTTAGTTCCATCCAACTCAAAAGTGAAAGTAGGGTAATAAAAATAAGCCTACTGTAGAACTATCTTGGCTTAAGTTATCCTATTGCTAATTGGACGTAAGCCTATGTGGGTCAATGCTTACATGAAATTACTGGGGTCGCTAAAACATGAATTTGTTTAATAAAATAAACACCTAGCTATAAAGTTTGTCAATCTTACAATAATATGGACAGTTCACAATCTAAATTTTGTCCTCTATGCCTACTTATAGTTAGTATAATTAATTATGACAATATTCTAGGCCAACGTGGATGCTGATTTTGGCAATGGCAGGTTAGACCGTTGCCGAGAAGACGCCTGCGCGGAGGCTTCGGTCGCCTATCCAAAGTCATAGTTAAAAAAAATGAAAATAGGTCTAAATGAAAATAGGACGAAAACAAATTTGGGCACTACTACTGAGAAGTATCTTTAATGATAAAAACATCTTTCGTCTAAGGCTAGCCGACGGCGATATATGTATTGTGTAGGTCTAATTCTTCTTAAAATATTATTTTAGCCCAGGCCTAGGCCTAGGCTAAGGCCGCCTAGGCCTGGGCCTAGTCTAATAAGTACACACTTTTAAAATGTATTTAAAAGTAGGCATAGGCCTACAAATCCATATAATTCACATATATTAAGTAAACAAATACATCATTATTGATTTAATTACCTATCTCCTTATTTAGGACTTTAAAACTGTTTATAATGTGCATTTTGTATTGTCCATGGATCTGGGTCCTATAATTTATATAGCACTCCATCATGATGTTTATATAAAAAAAAAGAAATTTTAAAAACCAGAACAGAAAGAAGCTTAACTACAATTAATTAAAAAAAAAATAAAAAAAAAATAAATGTAATTAAATGTAATAAAATATCACCCTCAATTTTCTATGTACAGTATTTGAATGACTTTATTAGTTTATTTAAAAAAACACCTTAGACATTTCTTATAAAAAGTCTTATTAAATATGTATAAGTACAATTGTTATGTATTATATTTTTCATAATTAAAAATGTTACAAGTGAAAAGTCCAAAATTCGTGTCTTATTTCTGACAATTCATACAAGGTGCTGTATGATACTCCCCTTAAATGACTGTAAACAAATCTAATGGAAGCAACATCACATTCATTATTAATATTCTACTCCAGTAGAATATTTTTTTCTAACCTGGTTAGGATCAATAAGTCTTTATAAACACGCAAGAACACATTTTGACGGTAATTATGTTCCACAGTCCCACATTTACAGTAAATTTATGGGCGTTTATTTAAGTATACGACAAAAAATAATTATACAACAAAAATAGCCTCGAATAAACGCCTCTAGAGTACCCTCAAAACCCCTTCTCAACAATGTAATAAATGCTCCGGGGCGTTTATTCGAATAAATACGGCAATTTTTTTTATACTTATTGAATTTTTTAAAAATAAATTCATATCATGCTGTAAATGTGCAACTCAATGTTTTTCTTTTTAAATAATATTATATTTGTTTTACATTAACAGAGACAAAAGTATAATTATAAAAAATAAATAAATAAATAAAAATTATATTAGGGTCTGATTGTAAATTGGATGAACAATCGTGAAAAAATTAAATTGTAATATGTCCTTTAATATCTAATGATCGGTATTTACAAGAAAAAAAATGGACAAAAGATTAAAAAGGATAAGTATTTTCTAATTGAGTATGTATACAGATGCTTACGTATCTAAAAAACAAAAATAAATACTTTATGAGACAAGAGGAAAGGGAATTTTGATCTAACATTGGTGAAACTCAATAATAAAAGCTCAATAATCATTGGAAATATTGGTGTTTGTCATCTACCGTTAAGGCCTAATGTGTGTCTGTGTGTGTTTTTTTTTAAAGATTTTTACTGTAATTTGGTAATTTAGAAACAAATGATTAATGACAAGTTATTTCTCATACTAAAATGTTATCGTTGAGGTATTTCATGACAATAGTGTTATTATAAAATAATATAAATAAACTCCATCTCAACTCTAATTATGACCATAGTCCATTGGGCCAGTCCCCCTCCCCCGCTCAAAAGGAGAGAGAGAGGGGGGGGGGGGAGTGGGAGGGGGAAGGGAGAGAGAGAAAAATTGGGGAGTGAAAAAAGCGAAAAGAAAATAAAGGACAAAGAAAAGAAAGCAAGTTTTCGGTTTAATTTCCATGTACACTACCCGTGTACCTATGTTCAAGTATTTCCAAACAAAAATCACACAACACTACTGTACTCGCGCGAATAAGCGCCCGGGCGCTTAAAATATTTTTTTGCACTTTCTGAGGGGCGCTTATTCAAACGGGGCGCTTATTTGAACGGGGCGCTTATGAAAACAGAGTGGAAATTGAGGGGGCGCTTATGGAAATAGATGAAAATCGAGGGGTTCT